AGAAACCTTACTGGGGTGGGTGGGGGTGCCTGAGTTGCAATTGACTTGAAGGCAGACAATAATGACACATTTAAAGCAGTTATTTTTGGTTTTGTGGCAAATACAAAGAAAAAGTCCTTGCCATTAAAGGAACCCCCCCCCCTTTTAAACAAATACCATTGAAGCATCTAATTTATTCATTACAAAATATTTGTATAAATATTTTAAGATTATAGAAGAAGCCATGTTAAAAGGTGAAAAAAGACAAATTGCTAACGATTCTAATATTAAATACTATTTAAAATTTGGGAAAATATGGAAAGATTTTAGACAAGCCTTTATTTTTTCAGGTAATGTAAATAGAAATGGGGTATATGTCAGTAAATAGACTGGGCAGAACTGGAGAGTTGGAAACTGTCTTGGGGATTAGTTTGTATTGAACCAAGTCCATAATAGGGGATATAGCTGGAAAGATATATAGGGGGATTGTGAGAGTTCTTAACTCATGAACCCCAAAGTGGTTTAATTTTTATTCTGTAGGTCACTTACCAAGCATAGATTATGTGTTCACGTGAAGTTGTGCCCATAAGCCCAATGTGCCAAGCTAGAGATGAGTGTTAGTGGAGGACCTGAAAAATCTTAACACTCTTACTCAATTTCCCTGATTCTGCTAAAATCAGAAAGTTGTAGAACTGCAGGAAATGGACACTGCTCATTCTAGACACTGTTCTAGATCATTGTTAACCTATAGCAAGTTTCTGAGTAATAGTAAAGATCATTAGAAAATAGTCTTCAACAAGGTATTGGCAAGATAGATTGAATATAGTGTAGACTAATACAGTATTTGAGATATAGAGCAATACCATTCTGAGCCCTAGTAGATGGATAACAAAGAAAAAACAGGGGAGACAGATTTCAAAGGAAGAAATAACAGTGGTTAGACTTATGAAAGATATCAAAGTGAATAAGCAGTCAGGGAATGGAAGCTCCTTGAGGACCATCTTTGGTGCAGATTCAATGGGGGGAATCTATGGAGAATGCATAAATGACTGCTTTTAAGGGATTACAATCAAGCTAAAGAAATGAGTTAAAGCAACCTCATTCTTGTGGTATAGCTCTGTTTGAAGAGAATGTTATATC